AGTGATGACAGTTGTGCCCAGTGTGGCCAAGTAGGCAATGACCTGGCCTTGGTTTTCCTTATACTCAGGCACATCCCTGTGTAGGATGAAGTGGTTTTGGGGGCTGGATTAAGCCTCTAAAGAATCTTCTTCAGCCAGGCCAGTGTGGCTCAGTGGTTGAGCGTTGGCCCATGCACGGAGAAGTCACCAGTCAGGGCACATGCCTGGGTTGTGGGTTTGATCCCCAGCCAATTGATGTTTCTCTCTCATCGATATTTCTCTCCCCCCTCCCTTCTTTTCTCTCTAAAAAAAATCAATAAAAACATATATTTTTTAAAAAACTACCAAAAAAAAGAAAAAAATAATCTCTTTTAGTGTTCCTTCCCCAGGCTGGGTGCAGGATCCCTATGCCCTTAGGCTCCCGCTGAAACCTTAGCCCCTAATTCCCCACCTGAGCCTGAAGGGCCCCACACCTGTCCTGAGCCCAGGAGGAGAGAGGGCCACTGAGGGGCACAGGCCTGGCCCACTCAAGGCTGAGAGATGGAAGATAGACTATGGGAAAGCTAATATTTCTCTCCACACTGTAAAACCTGCTCCCCTCACTAGGGAGAAAGGATAGGAGGGTCCAGCTGACACCCGTTGTGACCATGCCAGTTTGTAGTGAACTCAAGCAGCCCCTTCACCTTACCAGTGAGTTCCCCGCCCCTGCTGCCTGAGTGACTCCCCGGGTGAGCCACACCCTTTTTCTGGGCCTCAGTTTCCTCTGGAACAAAGGAGAGGCATGATCCCTGAGGGCCCTTTCTTTCGGGACTCTGTTCTCTGGTTCTAGAATTCCCAGCTTCTGAGGCTCCACCTGGGATGGCCAGAAGGGAGGGCTTGTTGTTGAGGACTGTGAAGCTGTCAGGCTGCTCCAGCTTGAGTCACCAGCTGGAATCCCAGCCTGGCCTGTCACACCTGCTCACCTCAAGGGGTGGAGGTGGGAGCCGAGGCCTGAGTCCTGTCTCCTCCAGACTCCCCCAGGTCTCCCCTGATGGCTTCCAGAATTGCCTCCTTTCTGTTTGTGAACCTTCCCTGCCCCCTGCAAGTGGCTGGAGCCCTGGGGGAAGCTGGGAGAGGTTGGCCAACCCTATAGTGGGCTGGGACAGGAACAGGGAACAGTTTGAGGTTTCTGGGGTTCTGGGCAGAGGTACAGGTCAGGCAGACCTGAGGAGGCAGAAGAATGGAGGTGATGACCTTTTAAACTTCCTTCTAGTTGCAAGAGTCTGGGGCTGCCGCTACAAGGGATGAGTAAGCGACTAGAATGTCCTGGGAAATGAATGATGGTTCCAGAGGAGTCCATAGGCTGGGGTTAAGCGTGGTCAACCCTGTCTCACCCTACCCCCTTTAGTGCCAGTGACTGTGCAGAGGGCTGACCCTGCTGTGGGAGCAACTGTAGAGCACTGTGGGGAGCCAGGGGAAGGGCAGGAAGGAGGCAGAGGTGGTTCAGGCAATGCAGACCAATGGGAAACAATGGGAAGTGGGGATGGACACCCAGGAGAAAAGCCAAGGGGCAGACCCTGCCTCCTACACGGCTCTCCCGAGGAGAACTTGTTCTCAGGTAGGAATGGAGCTGGCAAGGAACTCTGGAGGCTCCAAGTGTCACTGGAAGAGAAGGGGCTTAGATACTTCCTGGGGACCTAGGGACCCAGAGCCAGGAGGGAGCTTCCCCAGGGTCCCTCCTCTGTAAGAGCTACAAAGCTGCCCCAGAGGCAGGGGAGGCGGCAAGGGGTGTGTGCCCAGGGGCCAGAGGGAGGCGGTGCTGGCCAGGGGAGAGAATGTGAGGAAGGAACCAGGCCCCTCGGTGGGCCTAGAGTGGGGAACTTGGCAGCCCCGGTTAGGGGCGGAGGTGGGGGTGGCCTGCCAGGTTTCTGCCGCTGCCTGGGAAGAGCCCAGCCCAGAGATCCTTATCCAGGGCAGAAACAGAACTGGTTTCTCGACTGGCAGGAAGAAGCCAAGAGGTCAGGAGGGCAGTGGCAGGCTTGAAGGAGAGGTGGGAGGACCTGACCAGGGGCCCCCGACCGGCGTTGAGACAATAGTCTCAGCCATACTGCTGGGCCTCTGTGGGCACTGTGTTTGTGTCTTTTTTGTGCATAACTGATTCGTTTTCATTTTCTTTTTATTTATTGATTTTAGAGCGAGGGAGAGAGGGAGAGACATTGATTTGTTGTTCCATTTATTTATGCATTTGCTTATTTATGATTCTTATATGTGCCCTGACTGGGGATTGAACCGCAACCTTAGTGTATTGGGACAACGCTCTGATTCACTATCTATACAGACTGAGTGACACCCCCCCCACCAGGTTCCCCTTGTCCCTCTGCTCTGTCACCCATCTTTCTCAGGTAATGACTGGCCCAGCCAGGAGAAATACCTGGTTGGACTCAGCTCCTCCTCTCCTCCCCTCCTCCCCATTACCCCCTCAGTGTCTCCCCCATCCCCCACTAACTCTGGAAGACTCCCGAGGTCACTGCAGGGAGGGGAAAGGGAGCCAACAAGAGGTGGGGGACCCTGGAAGACTCTCCTCAGAGCCGGCTCCCTTTCATCTCCTACAATCCCCACTCCCCCCACCACAAAGGGCCCCTCAGTCTCCATCCCATCTATCTTGTGCCTGTGGAGGTCCTGAGGCAGCCTTTTGTAGGGACCTGGGGTCAGAGGGCCTGACCAGTAGGTCCCTTCTCCTCTGACCCCCTCAACCCCTGGGGCCCTTTCTTCCCCCTCCCCCACTCTTCCTCTCTGGTCTGGGTCTCCTCCCCCCCTCCCCACTTACTTTCTACTGTGTCCCCCTCCCCCAGTCTCTCTCAGCCGGTCTCTCCCTCTGCGTCTCTGTCTCTCTCTTCCTCTATTCCTGTCTCTGGCCACACTTCTGCCAGCTCCTCCCTCATGGGTTCCTATAACTTGGCTCTTCCTGCCACATGTAGGCAGGAAATTGCCCTTGGGTTCTGGGGCCCTCAAAACCACTCTGGACCCTGGGCTCCCCCCAGGCTTTCTCTTCTCTGGTCTCAGCTATGCCCTGAATCTCTTGGTTTTGACATTACGAGGCCTCCCTCCGAGCTCCATGCTCCTGTGTCCTGGGTATGTGCTTGCAAATGCACCTCAGCTTTCCTAAGATGTTGGCACAGACTCTCCCAGCCTATTGGTGCCCCTGCCATGTATGTCAGCCCCCACCCCAGGGAGAATCACACATGCCCCCTCCCTTGTCTTTGCCTTCCTGTCCTGGGCTTCAGTGGCTGAGCCTTTTCACCCTCCTGTGGCTGGGCTCTGAGAAGCTTGGACTTTAGAGAAGATTGCCCTCAGCCCCAAATTGTCCTCAGGGCCTTTACCCTGTGGTTTCCTCTGCCTAGAGCACCTTTCCTTCTGCGCTACCCCACTAGGTGCTTCAGGACCCCCAAGTGCTTTGCCCTCCCAAACACCTGCCCTCCCGCCACCTCTCTCCACCCCAGTCTAAGCGAGGCCTCCTTTCTCATGCACTCCCCTCTGCTCCCCTCTCCTTCACAGAACCTGCACAATATACAATTATTTATTGGTGCATTTGCTTTTTTAAATATATTTTTATTGGTTTCAGAGAGAGAAGAAGGGAGAGGGAGAGAGAGATGGAAACATCAATGATGATATGAGTCCTTGATCAGCTGCCTTCTGCACGCCCCCTGCTAGGGACTGAGCCCGAAACCCAACCCAGGCATGTGTCCTGACCGGAACCACGATCTCCTGGATCATAGGTCAGTGCTCAACCGCTAAGCCATGCCAGCCAGGTGCTGCGTTTATTTTTCAATTGTCTACCTTTCCCCATTAAAGGTCTGTTTCTCCCCACAGGCCCCATGAGGGCAGGGATCTTGTCTATTTTTTTCATAGCTGTGTTCCCAGCACCTAGAGGGTACCCAGATCCTAGGAGGCACTCAGGAAATGAGAGTGAGATGATTTTAAATGAAAGGACCCCTCACCTCCCCATCCTACACTCAGAGGAGACTCTGGACTCTGTCTCCCCAACTCCCTGGCCCTGACCCTCTGCCCTCAGCTGCAGTATGTGGCTTCTCATGGGGCAGGAGCAGTAGGCCCTGGCCCCAGGGCAGTTTAGTCTTGCAGGGAGAGGATGCTCACCTGCCAACACAGAGCCTATGAAGCATGTCCAAAGACTGTCAGCACTGATGCAGGGAGAGGCCACTTCAGGCTGTGCGAGGAGCTAAGGCTTAGAGAAACTAACTTGTCTGAGGTCACACAAAGCAAGTGGCCGAACCAGGATTCAAAACTTTCTTATTCTAACTCTTGTGCTCATTTTGCTCTGTCATGACACGATGAAGGAAAGAGAAGGACAGGAAAACCAGTTAGAAGCTGCTGCTGTATAAAGCCTGGTGAGTGATAACAAGGTCTGACCTAGGGCAGTGGCCTGGGGAAGAAGGGCAAGCATTTGAGAGAGATCGGGATGGAATTTGGGAAAATGCAGTACAGACCTGAGTGTGGAGGTTCAGGAGGGTGGGTGGGAGAAGGATCCCAGGTGCCTGGAAGATCCAGGAGCCAGGGCAAAAGGGTTATGAGAGAGATCTCAAGGCAGAGAAGGGTTGTCTCAGACACAGAGACCTGGGCAGGAGCAAGGCCAGCCTGGGGCATTGATGAGCTCATCTGGAACGTGTGGGAGGCCAAGGCTAGGCCTGGGGTGCCCACAGACTGAGCTTGGAGGAGAGAGGGAACAATGGAAGGAGGAGGAGGCAGTTGTGTCACCTTAGTGGAGAACGTGGGAGAATATAGGAATCAGCTCTTTAGTGTCAAGCACCCCTCTGAGAGGTCAGGAGGATGAGGCCCTGGTGACCTTGGAAGCCAGAGGGGAGACCAAGGAGGCTGGAGGAAGGAAAGGGGAGGTGATGCTCATAGACTGAGCAGCGAATGAAGGGGTGGTGGTGAGAAGAATGAAGGGAAGGATCGTAACTCACATCCTCAGCTCCCACACTTACACACGTCCATCTCCTTTCCAATGAGCCAGGGACAGGTTATTTTTTTTAAACATTTTAATAAAATTAACCAATAAATATTCTATACTGTATAGGCTACAGGGACAAAGTGGAAGCCAGAAGGCCGGTCTTTCCCTCTTAGGCCTTCAGGTCCCCTCACAGAAAGAGAGACTGTTCTGGGCTGGATTGGGGTGGGACTGCCTATTTGGAGGAGGGGGTCGGGGGTCGGGGTGATTCTGGAATGGGTGATCTGGGATTTTGCAATCCATCCCTCTTTGTTGGTATAGGGAAGGGGGGAGGGGCCAAAAATAGCAGAGCCCCTGCAGGAGGCATCCCAGCTCCCTGGGGAAGTGACGTGGGTGAAGGGGAGAGCTAGCCTAGAAGGAATAGGGGAGTGAAACAGGAGCATGGGCTGGGGATGGGCTTGGGCATCTATCAGGCCCATAGCCACTCACTCTCGGACGTAGACCCTGGTGCACACAACATCATCCGCCGTCATGGTCTGGAAGGAAATTAGAAGTCATTGTTAGCCTGGGAGGCCTCTGGTCCTGTGGCTTGGGAAGAGGAGGGTTGAATGAAGGAACTCTGCTTTGTCTCTAGGCCCAAACCTGCTTCTTGGTACAGGACCAACAGTCAGAAGCTGATACCAAGATGCCTGGGCATCATGGGAAGGAGGGTAGCAACAGAGCCTTAGGGGTCTACCTCATGTCCTCATTCCCAAGCCAAGGAGATCCCCTGAAGAACTGCTGGGACCTCTCAATGAATGTCCATTGTTCCACACAGAAAGGACGTCATTTCTCATTTGCACTGTATGAGGCAGGGACAGTGTAGTTACACCCCAGAAGCCCCATCAGGAGTTGGGGAGACCAACCATGATTGTCCTCGAACCCCTTGCACCCTGGAGTGTCCCAGAAAATCACCCAAGGTAGCAGTGGGCTTGTTCTTAGCTGGGAAGAAGCAGGACTTACCAGGATCAGCTCCCCATCATTGGTCAGTTCTCTGGTCCAGGAGGTCTTGGGGCCCTCTCCCTTCAAAAGCCTCTGCTCGCAGACCATTTTGTTCTCACTTTCCCATTTTACCAGGCTCTGCAAGAGAGAGGTGGCCAAGTGAGCTGAGCCCACAGCAGGGACAATGTAGTGAGAGGGGTAGGGAATGTACCCCCTTTCTACCAGTCACCACTACCTAGAGACTTTCTCCATTAGAAAAAGAGTAAGGAATCCAGGAAAAGACTAGAAAATGGCATGTTGAGAGGCAGGGCAATAAAGCCATGGCCCTGAGGGACTCCTTCCTGGCACTCACCTTACAGGGTCTCCCATCCACAGTCTGCTCCTCGAACTCTTCCCCGATCTTGAAGTTAATCTCTGTGGTGCGCACGGTGGTCGAGGTTTTGATGTAGAAAGTGTCTCCTTCCTGTTTGATCTCCACTGCTGGCTTGGATGCAGCAGCCACAGCGATCTTCCTCAGCATCACGTTCACCCCTGAAGAGAGGAGAGAGGCTCACGTTTCGGGGTGCTCCAGGCACCTGGTTTACACCCTCACCATGAGACAGCTGGAGCAGTCTGCCTAGTTTCCAAGAAAGTGCACTGAAGGAGCAGACAAGTGTTGCAGCCCTGATGGGTGGTGGGCTTTAGGGAGGGGCAGAGAGGCAGTGCCAGCCCTTAAGGATCCTGCTCCTGGCTGCCCACCCCCACCATGAGTCATCCTAGATCACTTAC